CACTAAGTATTAGATGAGTCACCCCTCTATTACACCATATGTAGATAAGAGAAGCTATCCGTTACATAGTAAGTGTCATTGCTTTGATGGACAAGTAATTGGCATTCGATAGGTCTCCCTCCCAATGTGTCACTCCGTTGAGTCTGTGTAGGCCTTCTTCCTTCTAGTTTGATTAGTTTGTAAAATATATTAAGCACGATGTGCCATTTGAATTGTATAAGGGTTGTTATGTACAAACCTGATTTGATGGTCAATGTATGACTTTTTGAATATTTGTATGAATTATGTGCTAAGGATAATGTATTATATTTGGTTTTATTGTGAATATTTTATTATCAAATCTCTTGGCTTATGTTATATAATTCTAGATTCTGAGGCTTGCTCCGATCTAGTGGGTTAACCTGCTGAATTTGTGCATAGTCACAAACCCTCAGATTTAGCTCATGACACCACATCAACATAACTTGTCGCTATTTATTATTACATATTAACACCATGTGACATAAAATGATATTACGTTTTGATCAACGACAATTAGTCAACCTTTAATCATAAGGACTTGATTTAATGTAATAAAAGAATAAATATTTATTTAAATTTTTATAAATAATTTAGAGATTTTTAAAGTTGTTATGTCATTTCTTTAAGCTCGGATTGATTGGTGTTTTTATACTTTATTTTTATGAATAAAAAGTAAAAGACAAAAATAAAAAATAATATAAAACAAAAGGCAAATAACAAAAGTAAACAACAAAATATCAATTAAATATAATTAACTTTGATAAATTCTAGTTAATAAATGAACTTGTGAACCTTTTCAACTTTTTTTCATTTTAAATACAATTTAAGAAATTAAAAAAATGAGAAGGGTACGGTTGCATTTCAACCACTGGCACGTTGAAGAAGATTGATAGGATAGAAAACTAAAGTTATAACATAATGTTTGATATTGGAATTGAGCTTCAAGCCCTAACTCCAATAATTTAGAAAAAGGAGGTGAAACCCATTTAGAGACCACACGTTTCGAGACGGGGCAGGTATTAGCCCACTGTTGGGGCCATTCCTTTTCATTGTAACCTAATACCATCAATCAAAAGGTTCGGCTTGTGTCATTTCCATTTTGGAGCAATACAAACTTGACCCCCATCATTGTCTTTTTCTTCTTTTGGTTCGCTCGGATTGCCTAGCTGATTCCCTACTTGCTCTTCCTCTTTCTCTTTGGTTTCTCACTCCACACAAAACTTCTGATTTCTTGGCCCGTAACAATGGGACATGAACCCACCCACGCTCACCTAACCTAATCTGATAAGCATCTGATGCTTCGTGGATCACAAAAATCGTTTCTTTTTTTCATGAGAATGAGAAAACTTATAATTAAACAGTAAAAAATTTGTTGGTTTTAATTACTTTTTAGATCTTACTATTTCATTTGAGAATATTAGACGTGCGATTTAGTTCAATGCATATACTTAAATGGTGAAATCCCTTTTACTCAATGATTTATCAATGAAAAAAAATTATACTTTCAAAAAATTAAATAGATTTGTATTAGTTGACTTAATTTCACTTCATTAAATTTGGTTTTATTTTATTTTATTTTTATTTTCAAAAGTAGGAGGCAAAAGATGAATTTGGATAAGAAAAGCAAATTGTATTAAAAGAAGTGCAAGACTTAGGTAAGGTTTGTTAGGTCAATTTTCTGAGATTCCTCCTTTAAGAATGATTAAATAAAAGTTATAATAAAAAATCTAAGTTGATTGATAGAAAGGTTTTATTACATAGATCGAGTGTATAAATTTAGAATGAATTTTTGGACGTTATTTATAAATATTTTTATTAATAATTATGATAAAATTTATACCGATCAATAAATAGTGATCAGATTTTGCATATAAAATTATTGTTAATTATTTTTAATAAATAATGGATCTTCACATTGAATTCTATCAATTCAATTTAAAAACTTTATCTAAGTTGTGTTTGTACATATGGACCCATTGGGCTTTGGATTCTTATTTAGGATATGTATAAAAGTTTTTTATTTTTAAGTTATAAAAAAAATGTAATTTTCTCTCTTTTTTATAAATTTCAAAACCATCCCTTTTATGAGTAATATATATCTTTCAATTAGTATTTCGTTTTAACCATTTATTAGTTTCCAATCAAATAGTATAATTTTTATGCTTACTTTTACGTTTTAAGAATATCATATTATATATTGATGGTGGTTATGAGAGCATTTATATGCATAAGTCATATTTTTCATTAAATTAAGTATATCAACTTAAATAATTCTTATTAATAATTAAAAAGATGTGGGCGTGAATATAATCTCACTGAAATATTGACCTGCACCGTCATTTTAACTTTAATTCATAATAATTAAGAAAATTATGAAATATAAAAAGATTGATAAAGCAATAATCAAATAAAAATTACAAGTATTTAAAAATAATTACATCTATGATGATTGTTTAGTGTATGAAATACATGCTTTGAGACGAGAAGTGTGCATGCAATTATCGTATTAATCCCCCATCATTATCATGGAAGCTTAATTGCATTCTAAACATGCTTTAAATTTGAAAGAAATCCATGAAGTGGGACCTAATCATAATGGTTTTCATCATCAAATGATCATGTCATGGCACATTGTGCAGCTCTGCAAGTTGATCCTAACAAAATGATTTGAGTTCACAAAAGAAGTAAAAAACAATTACCCATCTTTCTCTTCACGCAAAAATGGTAGGTAAACAACCAATCACCCCTACCAATTTTCATTTTAACCCATCCGCATCCGAATAAACCTTTTTCAGGAGCTAAAACAATTATAGCACGTGTCCAAAATGATTGTTTCCAACCTCCCTTCTTTTTTTTTTCAATTTTCCAAAAAAAAATATATTTTTATTTTAAAAAAACAAAAAGAAAAAAAGGAACTCACGGTTACAAAGCCTTACACGTCTGTTCTTTTGCACACAACCCGATGCGGACTCTTTCTTAATGGGCTGCCGTCATTGCTACGCTCGATGAGCAGCGATACCTGTCGTTTGGGCCCACGTCCCTACATTTTGATCTCATCCGTGGACTCCTCTGTCACGTGTGCCCCCACGTGCATGATCACCTCACCAATTAGATTAAAAAGGCAAAAAGAAAAAGAAAAAATGGACATTCTTGACAAAAGAAAGTGACGGACTTAATCCTGGCTCGAAGACGTAAACCTCAGGCTCAAGTAACCCTTACCAAATTTAAATTGAATTTTTTTAAACAAACTCAATCTCTGATTAATTAATATGTCGGAAACAATGAGATGACGATGTTTATCTGATCCGCTTTGTTTCGCTCACCATACTAAAAGACAAATAAAATGTTGTTAACATCATGTTGCTTGTTTTTGCACAATATAATATGCGAATTTTAGACAGCGCACACAGTTTGATCTTTAGATTTAATCAAATTAGAGCAAAGTATTCTGTAGAATCTGATTCTATATATAAAACATTTTGGTTTACATGTGAAATGTGTGTTATTCAATTTAATTTTAGTATTAACGAAAACAATGATTTTAAGACATTATATTATATTATATATATATATATATATATGGTTCAAAGTTGGTCTAATCAAGTTTATTTGTTTTTGTGATTTTAAAATGTGTGGAGGGCGTCAAGGAGAATGCCCTGTATGAAAAGGACGCAACCTGTGGAAGATGCCCTCCAAAAAATAAAATAAGAAAGCCAAGTACAAGCAAGAATGTTTTGCACGCTTCATGTGATTAAATGCATGTTTTACAGACGGAGGAAGTATTCTTTTTCCTTTTAGCGGAGCAGAAATGTGCTTTCAAAGAATCAAATTAATAGTTTTTCTCTATCTTTTTGGGGCTAAGGAATGTAAAAAAGAAGACAAAAATAGAATAACCCGGAAACAAGACAGCAATGTTTGGACAATATGTTACAAAATGCTCCTGTTTTGGCTCTTCTAATAATAGATTTATATTTGACCTTTTAATTTCAGAAGGAAAAAAAACATGAGAGCGTATTAATAGTATATCAATTGACCCATTCTACCTGTGTAATTTTCTTTCTTCTTCAGCGGATTTAATTTTCATTCTTAATAGGATTTGTATAAGTCTTATTTAAATATTATTCTTTTAATTCTTCTCTTGATATCAAATCAAAGGAATATTCTTCCCTTGATACCAACGAAACCAATGAAAAATCAAGAAAAACAAAAGCGTTTCATCTTCAAATATGTTAAAAATTGATTAGAATTTTCAAATTATTTTGCATATTTTCTTGTTTGCTTTGTAATCTAAAATACTAAATATATGATAGTAAAAAACATGACGAATGTAATCTAAATGTAACCATTAAAAGTTTATTGAATATTTGATTCAGTAATTGATATATATTTTTTTATTTTAAAATAAAAATTAAAAAAATTATAGGTTAAATTAAGTGATGTTTAGCAAGGGAAGGGAAACTATTAACTTTTTTAAGAAGTTTTCGCAATTTATAGTTTTCAGATATCCACCTTTGACACCGTCTCTCCATCAACTGGGGCAGGGCTTTGTGGACTAGAAGTAATATGCATATTTGGCAGATTTAGATAAAATATGATCACTTAAACTCCAATATTTGACCGATCCACTAAATTTCCACTTCCCAAAATAGACAGAAAATGTCAAGCTTGAACAAGTTTAGACACAAGGGTTTTATAGCTCTATTCAAACCACACGAATAGACTTAGGAAGAATGGCAGCCACACCAAAAATCAACTAATTAGTTATAGGGAAACGCAAAATTCTCTCCCTTACTATTTCTTAAAGTCCAATTACTCACAATATCTGAAATATCCATAGATTTATTACTTGGGATAACTTTTTGTCATGCGTAGTGGAATTGTCGGGATGTGAGACAAAATAGTATATATTGAAAGGCAAGGACATTCTTCCATAAAAATAGTTACCAATGAGGACAACTTGGAGGTGGTAAGCAAAAAGATAATTATCAATCACAATAAGATTTAAAACAAAAAAAAAAAAAAAACAAAGTACATTCTTAATGAATCTTTGGCTGTAAAGCAAACAACAGACAGCTTGAAAAGAGCTGTTGGTTTCTACATCTTTCGTTCGATAATTGAGAGAAAGTAAACATCAAATCCTTGAGAATCGAACTATGCCTAAAATCCTAAATGCCTCTTTGTTTTTATCCCCTCTTAACTTTATACTGATTTTTATGTTCCTTTTGTTTGTTTGTTTGTTTCTCTTTTTTTTTAAACAATAAGGATGATGACAATAATTCAAATCAAACTAGCTACATGCAAATACAAAGTTCAACAAAAGAATAAAATAAAAAAAGGGTAATCATCCTAAAATTTTAAAAATATTTATTTATTAAAAAATTGGGATTGCCATTAACCAGTGGATGAAGGATAATGACCAGGCGGAGACGACGGTGGCACTGGAAAATCTGACCCACTAGCTTGAGTTTGATTAAACTGTTGCCTTAAAATGCCCATTTGTTGCTGTTCAGCAAAAAGCAGAGGAAAAGAAGCAGAGGAAGATGATGAAGAACCAGAAGCAGATGAAGCTGCAGATGAAGCTGCAAATGAAGATGGCAAAGATGACAAAGAAGAAGATAGCATTGGTTGTTGAATATTAGCCAGTTGAGAAGGTTGAATCATCTGCTCTAGCAAGCTTGTAGTTTGTTGTCCATGGAAATCAGTAGAACTCTGTAGCAACTGAGAGTACTGCCAATAATCTCTCAGCATATCAACATTAGAGCTCTGAAGAGGTTGGGATTGGTAATATGGTGGCATATGCGTAGAATGAGATGGTGGGAAATGGGTTGTTAGAGAAGTAGAAACTGATGTTTGGGTGGCAGGAAAATTTTGCATTGGTTGCGGAACTAGCCTGACATGTTCCGGGAAATTTAACTTGGCCCTGTTTCCCCTGAATCTCAAGGCAGCGTCGTCATAGGCTCTTGCCGCGGCTTCCGCTGTATCAAATGTACCGAGCCAAACTCTTGCTGCTTTGTGTGGATCACGTATTTCTGCTGCCCATTTTCCCCATGGCCTTTGCCTAACGCCTCTATATCTTCTTCTTCGCTCGCCGGTTTCTTCATAGGCTGCTGCTGCTGTTTCTGTTGATGTGGTTGAAGGTGCAGTTGTGGTAGGTGGCGCAACAACGGTTGTAGTTTCTTCAGTAACTGTAAAAAGAAATGGAGGGATAGATTGTTGACAAAGAAAGTAAAATAGTTGTATCGTCTTGTTAAATATTCATTGCTTTGAAGCTAAATGATTGAGTGGTTGAATCCTAAATGAAGGTGGTAATGCTGAAGCTGAGTAATTATTTCATTGCAGCTTTGAGTTTTTGATGGCCATACCTATCTATGTTTGTCCAAAGCTTACTAATTGAAACTTTTAGTTAAGGCCATATAAATTGTTGAAAGACATGCAATATTACATAGTTTTGTTCTTATTAATATTGTATATATGTAAGTAATAAAATAAACTGTTATGGAATTTATATTTTATAAAATATGCTTTTATAAAATTACTAATAATAAGAAAATAAAAAGCCTTTTCTGGATTATGTAATCTTCTCTAAGATCATGTAAGCAAATAAAATAGAAGTGTAATTCCCTAGACTTTCACTAAACGGTAAAAACCATAGAGGAAAGAAGAAGAAGAGAAGAATGAAAATCAGTGTGCAAGGGATAGCTATTTGGAAAAAGATGGAGGACGAAGTGGCATGGACGGAAAATATTATACCAGTAGTTGCACCAGATGATGAATCGGCATGAGAGCCTCTGAAATCACCAAAAGGTCTTTGAACCCTTGTTACAGACTCAATCAATTGAGCAGCACCCTCTTCTTCACGCCCTCTTTTTTGACCAATCCATAGACCAGAACCGGAAGCAGAACCAGAACCAGAAGGAGAAGCAGAAGAAGAATAAGAAGAAGGAGAAGCAGCGGAGCCGCTATGTCCAAAACTAGGCGTGACCATGCCAGCCAAGTTAGCACCGTAAACCCAATCAGCAGCAGCTCTTTGCCCGGAAACAACATGTGTCAGGGCAGATACCATTGCTGACATCTCGGTTGCTTGACCTTGTGGTCCAAAAACCATTTCTGTGTTGTTCCTATGTTGGATCATCGGTTGGTTGGATTCTCGAATTTGAGACAGCTGGGATTGTATTTCTTGGGTGTAGCTATCCTCTTGCTGTTCTTCACCGCCATCTCCAACAGGAGGGAACCTGACGTACTGACCTGACCCTCTTTGGTGCGCCACCTTGTTGAGTAAGCACATGAAAACCAATGTAATCTGGGGTTTTTCTTTTTATTGAATAAAAGCAGTTTTTGTAAAGACCTACCCTGCCAAGGGTATTCTGCCGCAAAAATTGAAGGGTCCTTTGTTTTGAAACGAAGGGAAGAAGGTTTTATATGTGGATAATAAGGAATTTCAAAAGCTGAAACTCTGATCAGCCGCCATAAAAATAGTACCCTTCTGAGTTTCACCAGTACACATAAAATGATAAATCCCACTACACTTCCACCGTCACCACCTTTAGGAGATAAAATTACAGTATTTATTTTCGCAACAACCTTTTTAATTTTTATTTATTCGAGATGTGATTGCAAAAAAAATATGGCAGATGTATACTGACCATATGAAATGTTCACACCATGAAATTTGACTGATTAATTGAGTGTTTCATGAGGAACTAACGGCAAATAGCTTAAGAAGTCGGTTGATATTTGCCTTTTTGCTCGGAGGGAGAGAGAGAGAGAGAAGATAAGAGTTCATGTTTGAATTGAGTTCCGAATACCGACATAAAAATGTAAAAATTCTGGGGAATTATCAAATTGGGCTAAGAATTAATTAATGATTAGCCCATAATTAGTAAGATGGACTGTATCATTTGGCAGTAACTTGGTATCCTAATCTCAATTGATTTTGAACAAGGTTTAAGTTAATTAAGTTAGCTTTTTGGCTAATTTTATAAGATTAAGGAGAGAAAGAGCAAACTAAATTTGGTGTTCGGTATAGACATCGAAGAGGTTATTGCAGGCTGATTAGTTTATGGCTTTCCTTTTGATTCCCAATTGGCAACTGCACATAATAATAGCTTCAATTCACAGATTAAAAAACTGAAAGAAGCTGGACTTGTAAAAGAAGGAAGGTATTTTTTTGAATAGTTAGGCTGTGTGTGTTTTTTGGTACAGAAGTTTGAGTTAGTCTAAAAAGAGGAAATATATAAAGTAAAAACAAGTATGGAAAAATTGGAGGGATTTGAAGTTTCGGTCATTTGCATCAATCAAAAGTCATCGCATTGGCTATTAGCTTTTTATATAAATGATATACTAGTAATAAGAATCCGCATTAATGATTTTTCATATGTCTAGAATTGAATTAATTAAAGGTGGAGCTACAGTAACAAAGTATTTTTTGTTTTTGGTTTCCTTTTTTGATGTGTATGGTCAAAACACGTTTCTCTCTGACATGTTCCATGTGCTCAGCAGCACACCCTAGCAGCTTCTACCATAAACCCAACAGCAGAAATATACAACCATTCAATTTAAGGTGCTTGAAGTTACCAAGGTCAAAAGGGACTATTTTTCTTATTATTTCACGTTTCAACCAATTCTTAGCCCAATTGAACCAAGGCCGCTTCTGTTCTTCCATTTCCTTTTCTAGCCAGTATTATTGTGTCTTGCAGTCGAACAATCCATTGCTTCCAAATAATACGAAGATGGTATATAATAAAATTGGGTATTTTCTTTTTTTTTATGTAATTGAAAAGTGAAATCATCATTTGCTTTTGTGTTATATATATATATTATATTATGAATAACTGTAAAAGTTTGGCTGAACTACCCTAATGTTTCAGCTTTAAGAGAAACTTAAGTTGGGCAAGAGTTTGCTCATTTTCCTTATTGCAGTTCGGTGAAGGTTGTCTGTACTGAGGTTTGAGTGTGAGGGGTTAGATCTATGGGGGACCCAATGGGGTGCATTTGGCATGAGAAGGGGATAAAGACAGGAGATTTTGGGGAGGTTGATGTCAGAACCGTCGGTCAACACTTTAGAATCGTATACGTGGAAAGTAGTAGGTAAAAGTAGCTGAGTAGGGGATAGGGCCCCTCAAATTGGCCTAATGTCCCCGAACGCCCTTCCCTAACACCTACACCTACACCTACAATTCTCGCCTTTTTCGGAGCTGTTTTACGTGTTCTTATGGCTAATTCAATTCTTAATTGTTGGTACGAGGTATCAAATTAAAATTGCATATAACTCTGACACTCGCATAAAAAATAACTTTAACTGTTATTATTCTTTTCTTAAGAAAAATATCAGAATAAACAACTTGTTCCATTCTCCATTTCAAGATATGTGAGCAAAAAGAGAGTCATAACTCATCAGTAATTACATTTAGAATTTTTTACTATACAGATAAATGAACTAATTGATGCAATCAACTCATTGTTGATTTGATTTTTTTTTAAATTCTATACACCATCCTTGAGTGCAAAAACCTTAAATTATAAGTTAATTTATGTTTAGTTATAAATTTATTAACAAAATTAAACAAATAATCTGAGGTCTCAGGTTTAATTAATTCTATTCACTAAATTATAATTATTAAACAAAGAGATGTCACAAACATACAAATTATTAGTGATATATAATATTATGAACAGCATTGTTTATAAATTTGAATAACGCATATACTCCTAAATGCGTGACACATGTTGATTTATTAGTTGATTTGACTGATTACTTTATTCAGTGATTTTTCATATAAAGCACAATATTTAATTCTGATTGTGATTGCAATTATTGAATTTACAGACAACTATATAAAATAAAATAAGTTTCTTTTTCAACTCTCCATTCAAAAGCTGCATAATATTTCTCAATGTTTTAATTACATGTGCTTGTGAACTTGGTAAATTTCCATCACTTATTAATTACATTGCTGTTCTATCACTGTTTTGGACAATATACAGAAACAAATAGTACGTTAGGATGTTATAATAGCTGGGATTTGAGAGTTAATTTATAGAAAAATTTTAATTTAAGTTTTGTTGTTTTTCGTGTACTAATGATGAGCCGTATATAAAGCATCATCATCATAAGATAAAGGATGACGATGATAATTATAATCATATTAATGGTTTTTTTATTTAAATTAAAAATAATTTTGGAATTTAAATTTGTTTAAGGAACCCTCTTGAATGGTTCTCTTTCTAGAAAGAAGAATGGAACACATATTAATGGGTATTAACACGGCTGAAGACCCGTACGTATGAAAAGTTACAACTCTTGGGAAAATCGTTTGGCACTCTGATGACCTTTGGTTTGTTCTGGTATTCATGATGATGTACTAATTTTCCACACTTTGCACTTGTACGCCGTTGTGAGGCTGATGAAGAAAGAAATAGGGGAAAACTCTTGGAACTTTCCCACATCTACATAGGAACGAATTTATTTTTGTTGTTTTCTCAAGGAAATTCCTTATAAGAATTGATTTACATTTGACATAAACAGGGTGAAATCTAGATGATTTAAACGGCCAGCTCCCTTACATTCGACCCCTTTCTTAATCTTTTCATTGCTATATGTATATATAGATTTCTTTACACATTAATTAATTATCAGCAATGATTTTGTAAGAAAGAATTAAAATAGTTAAAACCACAAATTTTGAGTTTCTTTCTTGTTTTTATAATGACATGTAACAAATACTAGACTATAATTAATATTGCTTGATTCATTTAGTCAGTAGGTTCAAGCAGGGTTGAGTATGGTTTGGATATACGGTCTTGAAGTCATACCCGTAATCCATTTATGTAAAGTTGATTCTAAAAATTTTGGATCGTCGATCCGTTTATATGATTGCTTTTAAGATCGATACTGTTGTCTGGTGTAGTCTTAAATTAATAAAAAAATTTTATTTTTTTAAAAAAATTAATTAAAATAATAATATTTATTATTATTATTAATGTAAACTACAATCAAATATTTACTGAATCTATGAATACTACAAGAAAATTCATACTTTCACATTATAATTGATTTATTGTTGGTTTTATTTTTTTTAAAATATTACCATTTTGTTCACTATTGTTGGTAGTTTTTTTTATTCATTTATTATTTGTATTGGATATAAACATTTTAAATAACTCTTGAGCATAATAATCAATATCTTTATACTCTTTTATGGATTCAAGTTTTACAATTTAGCCTTCTAATCCGAAAAAAAAAAACAAAAATCTACATCCTAGGATCTGATCTTTCGATTGAAGGCAAGTAGATAAGTTTTTAGAATTATGAGTGATTAAAAACAGGTCAATCCTAAATAATTTGGCCTATGAACACCCATCATGTCACAAGACTATCTTAAAATCAACCTAAATTCATCAATCCAAGGCGATTCACGAGTAACCCTAAATCTTTACATGCTTATCCTTAAGTTCAATATCATTTTTGTTATAGTGGGGCAAAACTTAACGCAAGTAAATATATGTAAAAAATGGTATCAGGTTCAAATTTGTGGACAAAGAGGTGAGATTCATAATGTAAGATTGTGCTGTTCCTATGGTGTAGTTTAAATCATATGAGAAAGAAATATTAAAAAAATATTGGTCAATCAACTTTTATTCCAAAAGATTAAACGATAAATTAAGATTAATATTTACAATATTGCACGAGTTAAGATCTCATTAGATCATAGAATGTTTTTGCACCCACGGGCGGAGAAAAAATGGAAAAGAGAAGGTTATTGCAGCCTGCTTTCATGGAGGACTAAGCATGTTTAAACTTTTCTCTTTTTTGCACATGCTCATATCACAGACCAACAAAGCATTCATTATCCACTTTTCATTTTTAAGCTGTTTAATTCCACCACCCAGCCTTCTACTTTTTCTGCACGTGAACAATTCTAATAGGGCTGCATTAGTTAATAATTTATTGGCAAAAATCACAAATAAAAAATATAATCAAATCAATAAACATGATAATCTAACATTATATACATCTTATACACATGTAAAGGAAAAGTTCTCGACATAAAATCAGAGAGAACAATTGGAATTTGATATGGCTAACATTAATTCTAGAACCACCACCTTATCTTTAAGATAAATGCTCATTAAAGATTCTTAGACCATTTGCTCATCATCCTGGAAGAAGTCATAGACAAACCTAACCAGCAGACAATTATTTAATCTTTACTTCTTTTTGAGATATTTGCCTGCTAATCTTTTACTTCATTTAATTCTTGACGGGATCCAAAGTAAGCTGTACATTATTGACAGAATAATACATTTGGGTTTATTCAGCTCTTAATGGTATCCGAGCATATCTTATTTTCATTCTTCATGATATGTCATGGTCTATGCACGTAAAGGTAAAAGAGTATTAAAATAGTGATAAAAGAAATTTCACATTAACTAAATTAAAAGTATCTTGAACATATAAATATAATAAATACTTCTCCACTTATTGATAAATACTTTTAAATTAAATACCCAGCTAAAAAATTTAACATAATATCCAAAATAACTCAACTTTAAAGAGTTCAGTTATGATTAATTCATTCCTATTCTTACTACCTTAAATCCCTATGGCCTCAACCTCCCATGTGATCAGCTTGGTTTGCTTTGAATTTTGATCACTCTTCCCTCCAATAATATCCTTATGGTTTCTTTTTTTTTAACCTTTATATCCACTAGGAAAGGATTATACTTGCTAATTTGTTTCATGTTGAACACGCAGAGGTTTAATGAGTAGATTATTTATTTCCTGTTGGTTTGCGTCGTGAGAAGCTAATTAATTAAAGTCAGTCGTTATTTTTGTCGCATATAGGAGATAGCTCCTCGCTGTCGGCTGATTGACCAAAGGGAACGGAACAAATAACGAAAGCATGCAGTCTAGCTCTCTCTCTCTCAGTGGTGGGCTCAGAATATTATTATTTTGATGGGTCTTGCTCAAAAATTATGCTAAAATTCTTTTCCACAAAAAAATGAAAAACAAGTGACCCACCATATTGGATTTTTGCATTTTGTTTGGATTCAAACTCTTCAGTTAAAAGTTATTGCATCTGATGTTACTTTATCATTCTTTCCAAAATCACTTATAACGATTAACTATTTGATCAAATGATTAATACATGCGTTCTCTACTT